AAATTTCCTCTCATGAAAAGAGAAAGAGGGGCTGGGATAAAGCAGTCCTCAGAGATCTGAAAGGCAGCTCCTCTCCATGACATTTCTTTTCATGCAGAGACTGGAGGAGGCAAAGTAGAATTTTTAGGCTCTAATATTGTATTTCCACATCAAATACACCAGTCTGTAGCGTTAGGTTGCAGCATTTCCCACCTTTGCAATGACAGGGAGCCAAAGTCACCTCTGTCTATTCAGGAGAAAAGATGGATTGGAAGTTGTGCATAAATAGAGAGTAAAAGGCCTTCACCGCAGGATATACATCTATCTTAGACTTTCATTTCAGATATACTTTTTCATAGTGCATGATTAATTAGACAGAGAGAAAAAGAAACATTAAAATGCCTACAGTTCACATGTATTACAAGTTTTAAAATCCATTATTCTACATTCCGCATTGAGGGATAAAAAGAAAATATTGTTGTCAATTATAAAATGCTAAAGATAGCTCTATACTTTTTAAATGAACAATGATAAAAGCCTTGAAAAATTCCCTTTGATGTGAATGGAGTCTTCAGCATTTTGAAATACAATAAGATGGATTAATTGCTACTCATTAGGCAGCAAGTTGGGACAGCTTTGAATGCGCATTCTCTTCTTGGCATTAGCTATTGCCTGGCTGAAATAGCCAGCTTTTGTATTTACTCCTGTCTTCTCTAATAATAAGCAAATTGGAGATCAGGGCTAGAAACACTGAAGTGCTCTCTATCTTTTGTCCAGAACAATTGTATATTTTCATGATTTGTTTATCTTTTTTGAGCTACAGCTAATTATTGCAAAGGTTATTTGAATCAATACGAGATCTGAGCAGAAATAACATCTGCAAAATTGCTTATTAGGAGTCTATTTTATGGTAGTGTTACTGTAATATCCATTTTGTGAACAAATTGTTGTTTCTTATGTAATTTTTTTTCCTTACAAGAAAAGTTTTGTATTTTAAGTGTTGGTATAGCGTTTAGGGCTTCTTGAATTAATACTGTGTTCCGTTGTGCTTACTTTTCCTCATACTGTCTTAGATTTTTTCCCCAAAGTCATAGATAACGTGGTATTCAAAGCCCCATTTATCATTCAAGGATAACATTTTTATTTTTTGCTGTAGAACACATTTGAACTGATTGATTGAATTATTCTTCTGTTTATGTTGGATTAAAAGAAAGTCAAGCACAAATCCTTTTGTGCTTGTCATGTAGAACTCTTGTTTCATGTGGGGCTTTTATAGATATTAAGAATTATAATTGGATGATACTGGGGAATTATTGTTATTATCTGATTTAACGATGTATTTTGCATTCCAAAACTAATGGCTGAAAAGTAAACCTCAAGGGCTTGATTCATTAAAAGCTATGTAGTCTCCTTGCACTAGATTCTTAGCACCTGTGACTTCCAAAAACAAAGCGTTTGCAACTGCAGCCAGAAGCAGTCAGCTAAAAACGTAAGGCAGATCCCGATCTCCATTACAGTGATGACATTTTGGGTGTTTAGTGGAACTAGACCAGATTTCCACTGATTGCAGTCTAGATCCACCTCGGTAATATTAATTACTAATTATGTACCAGAGCACAGAAGACTTTTATAAGCGGAGGGGTAGACAGCAGTCTAAGAGCGCAGTCTGTTACTTACTACAGTCTCATTCCTGGGCAGCAGCAATCCCATCAGAGCTCATAAATTAAGTAGGGTCAAGCCAGGTCAGGGCCAGATGGGACCTATCCAAGGAATACCTTAAGCTCCAGCAGGATTTAATTATTCAGTGGGAGATGCTGTC